GGGACAGTGGAAATATATAAACAACAATGGATAGATGGAAAACACGGAGTTGGTTCGGGATCGGCAATGTAGTCTGCACTTATTTTGATGAGGAAGAATTAGCGACGTTCCACACTCAAACGCATACAACAAACGTGAAGATCGTTTGACATCTGGGCTTTTGCCAGAGGAATTTGGAAGTTGGATACCATTATCTTCCAGGGCTGACGGCAACTGTCTTTTTCATTCCGCTTCAATACTGTTGATCGGCAACGAAACACTATCTGGTATTTTGCGCTTATTGACGGTATCTGAGTTATTCGCCCATTCTGACTTTTATGGTGATCATCCTCAATTTACCCAATTTGCTCAAGCCTCTGGTTATTCACAGGCAGCGATTTTTAGCATTCTTTTAAGTGATGATTTGGCATCAGATGTGTACGCTGGAAACTCAGATAATGCTCCCCACGCCATCGAAAGTCTGGCTAATACTAGCGCAAAACCATATGTGTTTTCCAGTCAGTTTCACATCCTCGCCCTTGCATCCGTAATTCGTCGCCCGATATTTTCTGTATATCCTGATATTCCTGGTTGTACGGCGATAAAGAATGCTTTGCATTGTGTATGTTATCCAAGAGAAGGTTTCTTGGAAAACAGCTCTCTTAACGCAGCAGATCCAGTTCATATTATGTGGACAAGGGCCAACATTTCTCCGCTACGTGGTTGGACACCTAATCACTTTGCACCTCTAATACCTTTCCGGAAATTACATCATAGTACCAGTTTTGAAGATGATGTTAGAAGGGGAAGAAAGAAGATGCAAAAATTTTCGTTTGAGAAAAGCGACCGAAACCAAGAAAACCTAACTGATAAGAAACATCTGGAACAAACGACACTACCAATAGATTGCAGCAAGAACGAACAATTCCCATTAAACAGCAGCAACAAAAAACGCTCCCTATTAATCAGCAAGCAACTCCCCGTAAAAAACAGTGCCAATCAAATGACAGCAACAAAAAAGGGGTCCAATCAAGCCACAGAAACAAACAACGGATCCAATGAAATCACAGCAACAAAAAACAGATCCAATGAAACCACAGCAACAAAAAAGGGGTCCAATCAAACCACAGCAGCAAACGGATCAAATGAAACAACAGCAAAAAACAACGGCTCAAATGAAACAACAGCAGCAAACAACGGATCAAATGAAACAACAGCAGCAAACGGATCAAATGAAACAACAGCAGCAAACGGATCAAATGAAACAACAGCAACAAACAACGGATCAAATGAAACAACAGCAACAAACAACGGATCAAATGAAACAACAGCAGCAAACGAATCAAATGAAACAACAGCAGCAAACAGATCAAATGAAACTACAGCAACAAACAACGGATAAAATGAAACAACAGCAACAAACAACGGATCAAATGAAACAACAGCAACAAACAACTTTTTCAAATAATCCGCAAATATTAACTCACCTTAAAAAACAGGGAAAACAAGCAACTCAAATTAATAAGCGGCGGAAAACACTTTCTGGAAGAGAGAATGAACTGGAGGAGATCTGTGCGTTTTCAAGACCACGTCGAATTAAAAAAAAGCGAGATTCAAAAACTGAACCATCACCAGCAGAGACTAAACTAGCCGTCTTTTTTTAAAATTCAAAAGTCAAGTGATGAAGTGATGTGCGAAAATATATATACACCTCCAGAAAAACTCCCAGCAACAAAGTCTACAAACAAACAGGGTGAATTATTCCTGCTATTGGGGCCAGATATTGAGTGGTATAAGAGAAAAGGAGTGAACGCTGTCACTAACATTTCAAGATCGAAAGAACAATCGATTAGCTCGGATGAACAGGGCTTTGGGTTCAGTAAAAGGAAAAATAAAGGAAAACATAGACAAACTTGTACAAAAACTCGGCGATGCGGGTGCAGAAAGGCAGCAAAAACATTTTGAAGCAATGATTACTTTAGGTAATTATATCATTGAGGTGGGTTCAATAGTTCCAACACATTAATTGAAATTAAAGGGAGTACGGCAAAACGTATTACATCTTCAAGTATGCTTCGGGTAATGACTAAACATTTAAATGTCGCTCAAATATATATTAATGGTGCAGGCTATATTTTGGAGAATCCCGGGAAGGAAATACTCGATTTGTTTGGATGCTTTTAAAATATCAGCAGCACGGACGAGAAAATAATAAAACAGAAAGTTGAGAAAGTCGTTGGTGATGAGTTTGGCATAATATGCGAGTATCTGGACAGCAAATGCGACAGGGATACATTAAAGGCTATATTAACACAATTAACCAGTTCAACGTTTATGGTGAAGTTGGCGAATGTTCAAGATAAACGGTGCTTTTCAGCGTGCAAAACGTCGAGTTAATGCGAACATCCAGGCTTTTAAAGAAATGAAGAAGGAAGTGGAAGAAAGTGTGGAATTGAAGGGTGAAGCTGGAAGAAGAAAGAAGTACAAACTTCTTCAGAAGATGAAACTCAAAAAGCTTCGTCATGTCTTTGAAGGTAGGGGGAGAATGCTAAAATGCAAAGAATTTCCTGATTTGGCAGCAGTCATGGAATACGCATTCGGTGAATCTGATCATATTGAAAGAGGTGGTGGTGGTTTGGAAAGTCACCCTAGATTGACTGATACTGTTCTATATCGTGCAGCGGACAGTAACACAATCATGAAAGATGCAAGGGAGACTGTGTTAGCTTTAGCACCGAATGAATTTGACATAAGCCTTTCTTCGTGCTTTAATTATACACAAAATTACAAAGAAGGCACTTACCAAGCGACACGTCATCACTCTGGTAGAGGAATAAATGCATGCATTTCCCTCCATAAACCTCCTCGCATCGGTGTCGAGAAATTTGTTGTTAACCTTCGATGGTCGTCTCAGAATGTAAATATTTCCATGGATTTTGCACACTTACACTCGGACAACGTCATGATTGATTCTAAAGATGCAAAAGCCAAACAAAGTCCAGGCAGATGTTTCACCCGTACAGAAACCTGGGAAAACCTGGAAAAAAATTGCTCTTCCCGATCATGATTGGAGTGCAGCAGCCCATAACTCTGTTACTCCAATGACACATTTATTCATGGAGACGGAAATGAACCTTGACGATTCAACTGACGCAGAGCAGCATTACAAGAACTGGTACAGCAGCAATATTAATAAATTTATCACACTTCGAACCAGAAACTGTTCAGAGAGCTTTTAACGAAATATTTTTACTTTTGGCAAATCCTGCATTGGATCAATATTTCCGTAATCCTGAAACGGGAAAATTAAAGGAACATTTTATTTTCGTGGTCGATAATGGTCCATCTGAAGCACCTTCACACCCTATGGTAAAAATGTGGTTGGCCCGTATGCTCTTGGTCCTGCAGCTAAAGTCGATTACCCAGAAGTCGTTTGCAGAATACCACAGCAAACGAAATCCAGTGGAGCGAGTTCACTCTGTGGAGAACCGTGCCTTATCCAATGAAGTTTTTACAAGTACGGGTGTGCATAAAGAATACGAAAAAGGTGATCAGCAGCACCTAGAAAATATGGAATTTATGGTGGGAGAAGTTGTAAAGTGTTTAAAGAAGGCACAATATGGTGGGAAGCCAATATCAAGTCAGCGTGGTATTGGCAATGAAGATAATTTTGTTTTCGATGACGAAATTAAACTTTTAAACTTTCTGAGTCGCAGTGAGAAACTAAAGAACGAGAACAACGAACACTATTCACCTAAGAAGAACAATCTTTGGCAGGAAGTAGCGTTAATCTGGAATTTAAATGTGGATTTCATTGGATGCTACCGAGAAGACTACCAAAGACTCGAAAATACATTTGATGAAGAGGGAGAGCAAACTTGCTGGGCAAGCAAATATGCAACAATCATTGCAAACCCAGATATTTTAGACGAGTACAAAGAACTTTTGGTCGCTCAACCAATACCTGACTACGTGAGGTGGTATAACACTGGAGGGGAACTTCATTATATTCCATTGGAAAAACTACTTGATTTAAATACTAACGTCATTGATTCTACACCAGCTGCATTTCTCCCCTCAAACATTTTGGACATATGTTTTAAAATATTTAAACACGACGTTGAAAGCATTATACCTAGCATTGCATTGCTCAGTTGGTGTACAGAAGATGAAGTAAAATAACACTTTGCTGATTTTTCATACAAACTGGACAAATCGTTTGAAAATGATAAAGAACGGGAATATTGGAGGCATCAAGACCTTTATAAGACTAAAGACAAAGCAGCATTAAAACGTCAATGTAAAGAATGCAAAATATCATCCGATGGCAAGAAACATGAAATTGTGAGATGACTAGTCGAAACACTGAAGCTTCCTTTACCTCCTGCACTGACGAAATATAATGGAAATATCGACTCGCTTCCAACAACTATCACCGAGTTATCCCAAATGCCTATCTTTAAACTGAGGGAAATTCTTCATTACCACAATGTTATCGATTGCGGCACAAAAGACGAGCTAGCCATAAGAGTTAGCATGGCAGTTAAATTTTTGCTATAAAAAATATTATAACAGCAACCAGAACATTAACGCAGTGACAGAAGAGAAAGTACTTACTTGACCCCAAAATAATCTCAAAACAACGAAAGTTTAGCACGCCTTCAAGTCAGACGATTAGCACCTCACGACCTAGGGATAGTGCCTCTGTCTTTAGCAAGAAGAAAAAGGCATTAATTTCTATACCAGTTGGTACAAGTCTAGCTAGAAACTCTAGATGATATTTTCAAACCTCTTGACCGCGAGATTTTATTGTACTCTGTCAATTTTTCCGAGGATTGGGTGAAACAGAAGAGAAAATTCTTTGGTCAAAACCAGGAAGCAATACGATCTGTTGGTGCAAACGTGCTTGCTATGTGGAGTAAAGATGAGATCGGCAGTACCGGTTGGAAAAGTGGTAAGGATATGTCATTCTCAATATTTTTATATCTCTCATGCATCCACATACATTAAAGATATATTGCATTCTTCCGTTTACGGGGTGGTACAGAGCAAAGGTACTGACCTATGACAGTGCCACAGATACTGTTGAGGTGGAGTTCGACGTTGAGGAAGGTGCACACTACCAGTATGTTGTGAAAGACGAGGTGAAAGCCAGGAGATTAAAACTCGCTAAAGATACGCAAAAGAAAGTCGACGATTACGAAAATATTTTCCAGATCGGGGCAGTGATTCGCTGGTCAGCTGATGATGTTGTTGAGGTTGGACCAGGTACGTTATAAGTACAACGTGTAATGTATTAAATTAATAACCAAATTCAATCACATATTTTGAAACCTCCTAGCCAATAACATATTAATTTAAAACGTTTCAATCCAGGTTCATTCATTTTTTGTTTGTTTTATTTGTTCTAGATTATTACAAAATTAAATACGTTCTATCCAACGTTTCGGTTTCCTATAGAAACCGAAACATTAGACAAAACTTATTTAATTTTGTAATAATCCAGAAGAACAAATAAAACAAACAAAAACATATTAAGTTAAGGGGAATATTTAACAAATTTAAAATTACAATCCGCATTGCTACCTTGGAAAGATTTGAGATTAAACACACAGTGTGGGTTAAACATACAGGTCAGAGAGTAGACCATTAACGGGGTATGGAAAAATACCGGCGGCTTAAAGACACAGTTCAGCCTTTTTAATTATAGTTTAAAAGGCGCATTTCAGCACAAAAAAACTAATTTAGAAAATCAATTAAACATAATTCAAAATCAATCAAGTCGAAGTTTTCCCATTTTTGTTGTTAAAAACATTGCGTTTACTGAATTGAATTATGCGTAATTGTTTTCCTAATTTAAATAGGTTTTTTTTCAATTAAAAGGTCTAAGATTGTCATTAAAAACCATCAATAAAAAGGCTGAACTGTGCATTTAAAGAGACATTTCTAAGCACAGAGCCTGTCTATTCCTGATGGGTAGTGTGCAGTACAATATCTATACATCTGTACGCAATCTAATGTGCATTAGGAGCCCTGTTATAACATCATGTATATATTATATAAATAAAACATATTAAAAGGTTTTCTTGCATAGGTTGGCATGAGGCAGAAGTCCAATCTTTTGACAGGGACGATGATGAGATTGTTATTGTCCTTTCAACCAACCAAAACTGGACCTATACCATTCCTGTTCTACCAAAACTAATATCTGAGCAACTGCACCTTAAGAAGCAGCTTTTTTAAATATAATATTGGACATTTATGACAGATAATCTTCACTTTGAAACCGGACATTACTATAACAACATAATTATTTAAACTTCCATTCACAGTTTGCAGAAGGACATCATTAACAAGACAATTTTTAAAATTTTATCATCTGTTTGTTGCTGGACCTTATTATACCAAGATAATTATTGGAACTTTCATCTTCTGTTTGCTGTTGAACATTATTATACCAAGATAATTATTCAAACTTTCATCTTCTGTTTGCTGTTGAACATTATTATACCAAGATAATTAGTGGAACTTTCTTCTTCTGTTTGCTGCTGGACCTTATTATAGCAAGATAATTATTCAAACTTTCATATTCTGTTTGCTGCTGGACCACATTATACCAAGATAATTATTTGAACTGTCATCTTCCGTTTGTGCTCGACCTTATTATACCAAGATAATTATTTGAACTTTCATCTTCTGTTTGCTGCTGGACATTGTTATACCAAGATAATTATTTCAACTTTCATCCTCTGTTTGCTGCTGGATATTATTATATGAAGCAAGATAACTATTTGAACTGACATCAACTGTTCGCTACTGTACATTATTGTACCAAGATAATTATTTGAACTTTCATCTTCTGTTTGCGCGCGACCACATTATACCAAAATAATTATTCAAACGTTCATCTTCTGTTTGCTGTTGAACATTATTATACCAAGATAATTATTCAAACTTTCATCTTCTGTTTGCTGTTGAACATTATTATACCAAGATAATTAGTGGAACTTTCTTCTTCTGTTTGCTGCTGGACCTTATTATAGCAAGATAATTATTCAAACTTTCATATTCTGTTTGCTGCTGGACCACATTATACCAAGATAATTATTTGAACTGTCATCTTCCGTTTGTGCTCGACCTTATTATACCAAGATAATTATTTGAACTTTCATCTTCTGTTTGCTGCTGGACATTGTTATACCAAGATAATTATTTCAACTTTCATCCTCTGTTTGCTGCTGGATATTATTATATGAAGCAAGATAACTATTTGAACTGACATCAACTGTTCGCTACTGTACATTATTGTACCAAGATAATTATTTGAACTTTCATCTTCTGTTTGCTGCTGGACATTATTATACCAAGATAATTATTTGAACTTTCATCTTCTGTTTGCTGCTGGACATTGTTATACCAAGATAATTATTTGAACTTTCATCTTCTGTTTGCTCTTGAACATTGTTATACCAAGATATAATTATTTGAGCTTTCATCAACTGTTTGCTGCTGGACCACATTATACCAAGATAATTATTTGAATTTTCATCTTCTGTTTGCTGTTGAACATTATTATACCAAGATAATTATTTGAACTTTCATCTTCTGTTTGCTGCCGGACAGTATTATACCAAGCAAGATAATTATTTGAACTATCGTCGACTGCTTGCTGCTGGACCACATTATACCAAAATAATTATTTGAACTTTCATCTTCTGTTTGCTGCTGGACATTATTATACCAATATAATTATTTGAACTTTCAGCTTCTGTTTGCTGTTGAATTATTATTCGAAGATAATTACTTGAACTTTCATCTTCTGTTTGCTGCTGGACATTATTATACCAAGATAATTATTTGAACTTTCATCTTCTGTTTGCTGCTGGACATTATTATACCAATATAATTATTTGAACTTTCATCTTCTGTTTGCTGTTGAATTATTATAGCAAGATAATTATTTGAAGTTTCATCAACTGTTTGCTGCTGGACCACATTATACCAAGATAATTATTTGAACTTTCATCTTCTGTTTGCTGCTGGACATTGTTATAGCAAGATAATTATTTGAACTTTCATCTTCTGTTTGCTGTTGAACATTGTTATGCCAAGATAATTATTTGAACTTTCATCTTCAGTTTGCTGTTGAACATTGTCATACCAAGATAATTATTCAAACTTTCATCTCGTGTTTGCTGCTGGAAATTATTATACCAACATTATTATTTGAACTTTCATGTTCTGTTTGCTGCTCGACATTATTATACCAATATAATTATTTGAACTTTCATCTTCTGTTTGCTGTTGAATTATTATACCAAGATAATTATTTGAACTTTCATCTTCTGTTTGCTGTTGAACATTATTATACCAAGATAATTATTTGAACTTTCATCTTCTGTTTGCTGCTGGACATTGTTATACCAAGATAATTATTTGAACTTTCATCCTGTGTTTGCTGCTGGACATTGTTATACCAAGATAATTATTTGAACTTTCATCAACTGTTTGCTGTTGAACATTGTCATACCAAGATAATTATTCAAACTTTCATCTCCTGTTTGCTGCTGGACATTATTATACCAAGATTATTATTAGAACTTTCATCTTCTGTTTGATGATTATTAATGAAAAATTCAGTCCGTTTTTGGCATGGTGCTGTTTGACGATGATTATTTATAACTGAATATTGAACGTGGTTTCTGAGGTGCTGGTGGTTAGATATACGATGTGTTTATGGCATGTATGAAGCGATGCTAGGGAGGACTATGGTAAATTAATCTTTTGTGCAATTTTTTGCATACATTTTAATTTATTGTGTATTTCTCTAGCGAACAGCATTTGGCAGGTATTTGGTAAGTTTGCAATGCAGTATCTAAAGTATTTTGCTAATGAATGGGAAAGGTAAGCATGTTTACACTATTTTATGGATAATGACATATATGTTATTTCTTTGAAAATTTAAATTTTTAAATTTCATAATACAGAGATTGGATTGAATGTTGAGATTTTTCGGACTGTGGCAGGGCTATTAAAGAAAAAAGCCTTCTGTATGGTGATGGATTACTGATATCGTATCGTCTTTCACTTACATGCAATGGAAAGAATCATCCGGTGTGAAAAACAGCGCTATCAATGTGCCAATGTCAATAATTACAGTATGCTTGCCGGGTTTGATAGTAGAGCTGGTCAACGATCATAATAAACATGGCTTACGTTTTATTGTAGTTTCTATTCAACTAACTAAGTAAATCAATTAAGCATGATTCAAGATCTGTGAACTCAATGTTTGTAACATTAAAAATGTTGAAAACATTGAAATCACTATCTTGAATTTTAATTAATTTATATTCTTTCTTACTTTTTTTTTCTTTTTGAAAGTTGTAACGTGGCTTAAAAACTATCATTCAAAAGGCTGAATTGTGCCTTTAATGTATAAACATTCAGTAAAACCTAAAATCGGCATTATATACAGGTTGCAGTGTATCCCGATGGCCAATTCAGACAAAATTCTTAACATTTCCAAGGGGTCGGGGAAAAGCTCGAAATTTCCGAGGGGTCTTGAGAAAATAGTAAATTTCCGAGGGGGTAAACAGGGTCTTTTTCTGAGGCGGAAAGAAAATTATAGAAAATTTCGGAAGGGGTTATAAAAATTTGAAAATTTCCGAAGGGGTGTCTCACGCCGACAAGAATTTCCGAGGGGTCTTGAGAAAATCGTAAATTTCCGAGGGGGTAAAAAACAGCAATCTCGTCAACAGGGTCTGTTGTTTCTGAGGGGGTAAGAAAATTATACAAAATTTCCGAAGGGGTTATAAAAATTTGAAAATTTCCGAAGGGGTCTCACAGCAACAAGAATTTCCGAGGGGTCTTGAGAAAATCGTAAATTTCCGAAGGGGTAAAAAACCAGCAACCTCGTCAACAGGGTCTGTTTCTGAGGGGGTATGAAAATCATACAAAATTTCCGAAGGGGGAAGAAAAATTTCAAAATTTCCGAAGGGGTCTTCCGTGGTGGAACCTCGTCAACAAGTATTTCTGAAGGGCTTGACAAAAATGGAAAATTTCCGAGGGGGGTTCGCGAAAAATAGAAAATTTCTGAGGGGTCTTCCCAAAAACCGTTTCTGAAGGGGTAAAAAATCAGTAACCTCGTCAACAGGGGGGTGTGGATATTAAATGGAATGGCCCGTATCATGGCTATGTTTTATGTCTAGAAAAAAGTTGTCAAATGATGTTGGCAAGATTCCATAATGGAAATCGTACATAAACATAGC